AAAAAGGCAGCTACTACCGTTAGACAGGTCCGGGACTCCGTCGTTTCGTCGGGGTTTGGTACTACGAGGGAGGTGGTATGAAGTGTCAACCCTACTCCAAAACTACAACCACACGACACGGAAAAAAGTTTATCAAGACATTTTGCTGGAGAACTTAAGGCCATCTGTCCACCAATTGAAGCTCAACAGAAGATGGGTGATGCAACAGGACAACGACCCAAAGCACAGAAGTAAATCAACAACAGAATGGATTCAACAGAAGAAAATAGGCCTTCTGGAGTGGCCCAGTCAGAGTCCTGACCTCAACCCAATTGAGATGCTGTGGCATGATCTCAAGAGAGCGATTCACACCTGACATCCCAAGAATATTGCTGAACTGAAACAGTTTTGTAAAGAGGAATGGTCCAAAATTCCTCCTGACCGTTGTGCAGGTCTGATATGCAACTATAGGAAACGTTTGGTTGAGGTTATTTCTGCCAAAGGAGGGTCAACCAGTTATTAAATCCAAGGGTTCACATAATTTGTTCCACCCTGCACTGTGAATGTTTACATGGTGTGTTCAATAAAAACATAAAAACATATAATTGTTTGTGTGGTTTTAGCTTAAGCAGACTGTGTTTGTCTATTGTTGTGACTTAGATGAAGATCAGAACACATTTTATGACCAATTTATGCAGAAATCCAGGTAGTTCCAAAGGGTTCACATACTTTTTCTTGCAACTGTATGTCCTTGCTTTCCAGTGTCCAGGCTGACATACCACACCCAATGATATTCGATTTAGAATACCTTTATTAGTCCCACAGAGGGGAAATTTGCAAAAAGGAAATGGTCTTCTATTGGACCAGAGGGTGTTTTGAATGACGTCAAATTGGCAGAAAGGATTAGGATGTAAAATTAGGATTTTTCAATGAACAGAGAGAAACACTGTTTTTACTCAACTAAAATGTATTCAAACAATGAATTGATTAACAAAATAGTTGCTTGACAAGGAATTCATTAACATAGTTTCAGCCCTGTGACATTTTTGTGATGAATCATTTGAGGATTGAGATGAGAAACCTTGGCTGTCTTCAGTTCACACTCTTGCTTTAGAAATGAGGACTTGTGAGTTATAATTCTCAGGTGAATTGTCTACATGGCTAAGCAGCAAAAGTGGTGGGTGGTGCAGTGTGGGGATTTCTCAGCTTTGCTTGCGTCTCTTCTGCATGTATGTATGGAGATATTTTCTCAGTATGGGTCAGTCAGCTGTGACCAAATCTCAAAAAAAATTTCGCGCACTGAGCTTTGCAAAATGACTTCTTGCCTTTCGAGACTGTGGTCTGTTGTTCTCAAAACTAAAACATTTGTGCATGTTAAACCACACAGCATTAGGCATGCTGTCTCGTTTGTCCTACATTGATGGTTTAGATTGTCACACTGTGCAGTAAAACCACACAAACCACTTGCTTACTCAGTTTGTATCCACCGGCCATGAGATACAACTACCTGCTGCGACGTGAAGAGTGCTTCCTCTCTGTCTTTTTTTCTCTCACTCAGACATAAGCTAAGACATTTCTCTTGTTAAACAATCAAATCAATATTCATTTAGAGCAGGGGTGTCAAACTCAATTTCATCGCGGGCCACATCAGCCTTATGGTTGCACTCAAAGGGCCGGTTGTAACTATATAAATATACATATATAAATACATAATATACATAAAATAATGTTTTACAGTATATGACATTATTGCCACTGCATTGGATTATTATATTATAGGGCAATAACTTAATAAATAAGTACGTCTGAAAGCAGAAGTCCAGGGCAAATAATTGCAAGTCTCTTCAGTGTGCATGTCACAAAATCAGATGCATTGTGGGACATGTGGGCAACCTGCTTCTGTAAATCGGCATGTAACCGTATAATATATTCTTTGCAAGCTCTTGCGGGCCACATAAAATGAAGTTGCGGGCCGGATTTGGCCCCCGGGCCTTGAGTTTGACACCCCTGATTTAGAGCATCTTTGAAGTTAGTGATGTTGCCTGTGAGAGCGTTTATTTCTCTGTTCTTGACCTCTTTTGTCAGAGCAGCCATCATCACGTGCAGCCTCTACTGCCTACAGATCTTCTTACAATCTTTAGATGTTAGCTGGGTCTAGATCACAAAAAACTAAGACCAGTGTAATATAAATGAATAATCTTCAAAGAAAACACGTTGGATGTCTGTAAATAGGCTAATCTATGTAGCTAGATAGCACACATGAGTCATATTTAGTTCCACGAAACAAGCTGCATATGAGATCTGCTTGACTTCAACGTTCACTTGTAATGTATGTGTAGTACAGATGATTGCCTTATGTGTCTACAGGCTAGGCTGTATGGAGCATGTAAACTACATTATTATTGATCGTTGAATTTTTTAATTAATGTCTCACACAACCATTGACTTGTAATATTAAAGCCTGGGGGAGAAACGTGATCTGAATGCTGTGGTGGTAAGGAATGTTTATAAATAATGTTTTTCTACAAGCTCTTTTTGGACCAAATTGTAAGAACTTTGTATCACACATGCATCAGAAATTTGTGTTTTAAATTTTTTTTTGTATTTATTTATTTAAGAAATAGACAATGCACTAAATTAACATGTGGCACTTGAGTCCATCATGTAAATGTGCCGGATAAAGTCACAGCACGTTCCCTGGCAGGTTGATGACATTAAAAGAAAGCGAGTGAAGAGTGAACTGAAACATAAGAAGAGTGAAGAACTAAAAAAACACATGAGCACCATTTCAGCACTCAAATAAAGAAGAAAACACACGAGCATACGCATAGGCAAAAACCCATCAGGACAATACAAACATCTAAGCACAATTGCAGCCCATTTTAAATCACATGGGCCCTTTTATACAAACCCAACAACATACATACAGATACATAAGCTAAGATGAAGGCTAATAGCCACAGACAATTAGAAAAACAATGATAACCCTACTCAGTAATGACAGCATGTTTGATTGTTCAGTAGCCAGTGTTTGACAGATGTGGAGAAAGACTGGAGAGATATTATGTTCTTAAGTTATGTGGGTATGTGAGCTGCCGGACAGGAAAGGCTAACTGGGCAAAGATACTTATTCTGAAAGGTGTTTACATGGTATTACTATTAGTATTACAATGCTAGCAGCTCTACTTTTTCATACAAATGTGATCATGCTTACTCAGTTTGAGAAAACATATTCACTTAAATGAATTAAAGCATGTCAATAAACAACATTTTTGCGACCCTTCTTGTGATTCTCATCTTCCCATTGCACGAGGCACTTAGTGAAATTGAGTTTGACACGACTGGTACATGATCATATATTTAAAAATAAGATGGGTACCTCTGCTTCTGCGATGTCTTCTCCTCAGCAACAAACACACGACCAGCAGGACGATCAGGATGAAAGTAGAAACCCCCAAAGAGATCCACATCCACAGGTCGAGGAGAGGGAGGCTCTCTATGGGGGACACGGTGGCTGCAAGAGAAAAACGTTGTTATGATATGTGATCACAATCATGTCAATTTATCTAAGTGTGTAAGTACATTTACAAACACAATGAATCTTAATAGTAAAGCGTTAATGTATTTCTGCCCACAGCTAAGATTTGTTCTCTTTTCTGCATTTGTTTCCCCTTATACTTTAGTTAGTCTTAAAGCACATGGGATTATATTATCTATTTAAATCTCATTATATTTTAGAATTAAAGAGAAAAAAAATAGCCTATAGACTAAATAAAGTATGATGTATCTGCAAACGCTTTAAATGTCAAAGACATGCTCACATATACTGTGTGAAACTATACTTTATGTGGATGATAATTAATAATCACAATGGAAGTGTTTTCGCTTCAATAGTAAAAAAAAGTATGATTTTTCACGTCATCTAAAATGTTGTACGACTAGATACTTCAAGGTCCCATGTCATGCTTTTCCGGTTATTAACCGTCCCCTTGTGTGTTACAGTATGTCGTTTTTGTTATGCATCTAAACGGTCTGCAGGGTCACAAACCCTCAAAGTACACCCTGTAGCGAGTAAAACTCTAACACAGAAAATACCTATATGCTGCCCCAGAACGCCTCGTTGTAGATTTTTCTTTTTCCATTGTTTTCTTCTTATAGTGTAGTAAGTTCAGTGACGTATTGGGTATAGTGACGTAACGACTTCCTCACACAAACACAGTCTTTTCTCAGCTGCAGCTCCGCGGATTTCTCAGCCTGAACTCAGCCTGAGATGAGGCGGGGCTCGGCCTGGGCTCGGGCTCGGCCTGGGCTCGGCCTGGGCTCGGCCTGGGCCCAGGCAGTAAGTCAGCTCACACTGTCCGCTCCAGCAGCGAGTCCTGCAACGTCCCGCCAACACGGCACCTAGACCCCACGCAGCATTCTCATCTGTTTGTCATTGCTGGTGTCATTTTCTGGTTGCTAACGACATTGTAACATGATCACTGATGTTCCGCTGTAACGGTGGTAGACTCATCAGAACAGTGTGGGCGAGCTGACCAATCAGACCACAGTGGGCTCATAGGGAGAGGAGGGGGGGGGGGCAGGAGCTCCAACAAGCCGTTTAGGACAGAGAGTGAATACACATACTATACAGAGATGCTGTATGAGAAAACCAATGTGAGTTTGGACATTTGCATAATGTGAATCTATTTTAGTAGACCTCAACAATGGAATTATGATCAGTAGAAATGGCCATGACATGGGACCTTTAAGACCTGAGCAAATGGGGCACTTTTACCTATCATATTCAATATAGTGTTTGGCCAATGTACAAGAATAAGGCTGAGATAACTTCCTTTAGAGAGAAATCACTTAAAGCATGGAAAGGGTTGAGTTTTAAAGTGTGAACCACAACATAACACCTGTGAGCGCAGAAGTTCACACATCACGGAATACAGTTGATCTCACTTCAGATGTCATGACCCACTCGTCAGTTCAGAGCAATGGGCACAACAACAATACATGTTTACCAGAATAAAAGCTCAGGCTTCGCAGGGCACAGAAAAAGCTGCATTTTTCTTCATCAGAGCTATAGGTATATACAGGGTTGGTTAGTAACAGATGACCTGGAAACAAATTAAAAGTCACTATAATCAGCCTGGATTGCATTATTGTTACAATGTCAAGAATCATTTAATTATATTTTAATCTTTCAATTATGGAACATTTGTTTATTTTGCATTGAATTTGCTTTATTTAATGAGGAAAAAAATTATATTTGTAGAACTAAGCTGTAATGGATGCCTCAATTGTTTTAATTAATTTGTAGTCTTTTATTTTGAAGTCGTATAAAATAATTTAGATTAGATAAAAAAAATGTATACAATATATATAATAATAATATGTTTACGCAACTGCATTTTGTACGTTTTACTCCACTCCATGTATTTAACGTCTTGTGTTACTAGCTTCTTTGCAGATTTAGATTATTAATACATAATATAAATTAAATAATCATTATGATTGTTATTATATGTTAAGCAACCCAGTATTATATAAATATTATTTGAAATACTTAGTTGTGTTTAAACTTAGTTTTGTATAAAGTGCAGTATTTTTTATGTATTTCTTTTAAAGTTATACGAAATGTTTCAGATAAGATTCAAACCTTTTTTTTTATAATCCAATCTAAAGACCATTACTAATTACAAAAATTGCCAACTTATATTCAGGAACAAACTGTAATTTGACCCAACCCTGCGTACACAGACCCATGCACACACACATACATATGGACATACACACATTCATGCATGCACACAAACAAACCTTGTTTACCCGTCAGTTTGGGCAGTGACGGATATGTTGTGAGTTCCTTGCTCTCCGCTGTCACAGAGAAAAGGAAATTATACTTTTATGTAGTCAAAGCAAGCCAGAACAGCTAAAGAAATCCCTTAACTTTAGCTTTATGGCAACACTTTTCTTTATGTACCTCTATTTAGCATTTATAAGCAGCATGTTAACATGTTATAAATGGTTTATAAGACACTATAATGTCGTTATTATTAACTACTCCTGCTGTGGGCACCAATATAATAATAATACGGCACCTAGTCTGGTGTATGAATAGATAATGAAAAACAGTTCATTTAAAATGGGATGAGAAGATGTTATAATTGCACATTTCCGTATGTGTACAACAATAGTCATTATAGTCTGTTATGAATAATTCATTACATTTTTGTCTACGGTTTATACATGTTGAATAGGCGGACTTAAAGTAGAGTGTCACCAGCTTTATCATTAACAAGTTATACTTACTAATAACTAATTCTGTTCCGTTGCTTTTGATAATGTTCAAAACGGGAATCTCAATGGTGAGTTTGCAAAAGTACCATCCGGTGTCATTTTTTGTTGCATTTATCAGAGTATATATTTGTTTTTCAACGTCCTGCTTTGTTTTGTTGGACACCTTGGTGGAGGACTTTTCAGAATTGTTGGAGATGTCGTTTGATAATTTGTGTGCGCCATCCCATGAAGGTCCAGAGGGATTCAAGAACCATTCCAGACGACATCTTTTGAGTGTCCCATGGCAGGGGGAAGTCACAGGACAGAGGAAAGTCACAGAGGAACCAGCAGGAACTTCCGCTCTCCTTTGTGTTTGAATAATCACATCTTTACCTGATACCACCAGAGCTGCCACTGTAAAGAAAGATAGAGAGATAGATATATAGATAGATAGAAAGATAGAAATATATATATATATATATATATATATATATATACACCTTTACCAAATGCTACATTGAAGGGATGCACATGTCATTGATCAATAATCATAATACAATATCTCAAATATATCTGGTGCTTCAATGGGCCATTCTGCATAATGAGTACTTTTGCTTTTGGTACTTATCAAGTATATTTTCATGCTAGTACTTTTTAGTAGTACAATTTTGAATGCATGACATTAACTTGTAACTGAGTATTTTTACATTATTTAAGTAAATAATCTAAGTACTTCTTTCAACTCTGATAGATACATAGATACATGACCAGATCTGAGACATTTTTAAATGTAAACATTTGTAAACTTCATGTAAAGAACATTTATCTCTTTTCCAGTTAGCCAGTTACAAAGAAGCTATACAAACAAATGTGTCTAGCTCAGCACACCTGACATTTCTGTCTGTTTATTCATTAATCTCTCAGCCTCATGTTATGTATTCATAGTTATTTGTCTGTGTATTGCCTGTTATCTTGACTCTTACCTGCCAGCAACACCAGAGTCGTCCGTTTCAGCCACATTTCCATTTCGTTATGTGTGAGGTGGTCTTCCTCTTCTCAGTCTCATCCTGTCTCTGCTGTCTGCCTGTGAACATTAGACAGCGCTTCAAAAAACCTGTGTGGGTGGGAGGAGGCGTCTTTACTTTGAGAACAAGTTACTGACTGACGAGGGGACTGTCTGCTGTGGAGGTTATAAAAACAACAAGAAATGGAAAGTAGTGTAGGCTTTTAAAAAGAAAAGAGACGCCATGACAGTACTGCACTGTTGTTTAATTTGCGTTGAATTAAAGTAGGCTACTTTAAAGTTCTGCTGCTTCCTCATTGTTAAATAAGCACATGCTGCTGAAGGCGCACTTCTACTGACTGGGAACAGACAGTGAATCTCTCAATCGGATGCATATGCAAGTGCCAACTTGCATTATGAAAAGAAAAGCTGGGCATAAATTGATGACACAACGGGTTTCTGAAACCCTTGTGGGTTTTGGGGCAAGGGTGCTAAACACATTTCCCCACATCGGGCTGAAAGTAAAGGAGGGCTTGGCTTCCTGTGACAAGACACAACTGAGAACCAATTACCAACCGCAAACTACACAATAAAATGCAGCTGAGACAAAGAAAGATTAGAGAACAATGTGACCTGTGTTTTACTGGCGGTTGTGTTGGAGAGAAACTCTTTAGGATTGTAGCCTTTGCAGACCATTTACATGGACAAACACCTACACTACAGGAAAAGGAAAAAACCCCAAAAGCAAAATAAGGCCTCTTTAAAAAACTGTCCTTAGTTGCTCTAACATCTTAAATCTATGTAGTACTGATTTACTCTGATATCTAGCATAAACCTGTCTTCAACTCCCTTTTTTTCTTTCTTTTAGTATCAATTTTTGTATGTATGTTTTTTCGACTGTTGCAGTAATTATTCTCTTATATATTATTTAAAATCTTAAACAGGATAGATTAATTAATATTTGGAAAAATAAAGTACCTATCTATCTATTCTGTATTTTCATGCACAAATCCACTTCCCCTCTATGTGAAAACTAACTTGACAATAAACCTGATTGTGATTTCTGAATGATGCAACATAAGATATTAAGTGTCTGTGTTTTATCTTTTCATCATGACGGTGAAGTGAAGCCACAAGAACAAACATCTCGAGTGTACAGTGGGGGGGGGGGGGGGGTGTATAACTTCTGAAACCTCAACTTCATTTTCACACAGAAAGTAGGTCCTGCCTAAAGACAGATGTAAGGACAGAAACGAGTTCAAATCACTAGTTTAGTGGAACAGCAGCTTAGGGTTGAGTGAGCTCTGTGGCTTGAATATACACCTTTATACATTGAAATTGAAAACACAATTACCATATTTCCACTATTAAACAATTGGTAAAATAGGACAAACAAAGGTAGTTGAAGTCTCTTTGTGTGTTCTTATCTTTTTTGTTGAACTTGTTTTATTTTGGTTGCAAATCATTACAGCCTTGTCTTAAATGCTGTTAGTGTTTTACTTTATATAAAATAATTAAAATAATCCTAAAAACTGTTATCTTGTTTACTTTTTTGACAAGTCACCTAGGATTCATTCAACTTACAGCAATAATCTTCAAATCTAGTAAGAAATGCACTTTATAGTCAAGAGTTGAATTCATATTAGCACTACAAAATGTAATGGTTAGACAGTTTGCTGCAGACTAACAGAGAGAACGTAGGCATTGTAGTCATGGCCGTACCCACCATTGAGGTCACCGAGGTCCGGACCCCTGTAATTTTAATAAATATAATAAAACTTGTGAAATAACTGCACATAATTAACAGGGCTCTTTGTAGTACTTTCATTTACTGGCGGTGGGTGCAATGCACAACTAAGTAGCTTACATTAAAGCAAACAGAAGAAGACAACATCAATGTATCAACAAACAGCCGCAGTCCGGACTTGTACCCATGGATCTATAAGGGAGGGTGAAATAAATACCTTACATTAAGTTATTTTTCGTGTTGTCATAAGGATGCAATGCTTTTGAAAGGCAAAGAATAATAATTTTTAAAAAAAAGTATATATGCAGAGCCCAGAGTAAAATGCTTGTGTGTGTACAAACTACAGGTGAACAGCAAACACCAGTGTGATTTTGGTTGCAGTACGACCACCCTGGACAAAGTTATGGGTGCCAAATCCGGCAGCACCAACACCTGGTCTACCACATGTGGAAGCCCCTCTTTAGTTTGTCTCCTGCTGAGCCCAGAGTAAAATGCTTTTGTGTGCACAAAAAAAAGTGGGTGGTTAACATCAAAGCTTCTTTTAAAGTAATGCACAAGGGTTAATATATTTTTTTGGAATAGTGTTTGCTAAAATAAAAATCGTAGACGGGTTATGTAAATTGTATTGTATTATTTTATGATATATATGATCAAATTAATAAAACGTATACATTTATTAATATATATTTGAATTATTTGATTCATATTTATATAGACAATTGTTTGGGATTCTCACCAATTGGGCAAATCAATTTAGGGTCTGCATTATTATCGTATGTTATGTGTCTCATGAGTCATGACAAAATCAACACATGTTTCATTTGTTCTCAGGGTTATACGTAAGTCAGGTTTATAAGTCATTTTCAACAAAAACAAGAAAGAAAATGGTTGGGGAAATGTTTTCCAAGGTCCATAACTTTTACCTAGTTTATCAGTTCATAGTTCATACTGTCCTGACTGAGCACAGGCACCTGTAACCTTGGCTGCTGTGCTCTCAGTGTTCTGTCTCCCTGTTCCTGCCTGTTGGCGTCAGCTGATAGAGGTGTTATGGTTCTATGTTGTTATGCAGCATGTTGATTATTCTCTCTGAACTAGCTAAATACATGGGTCTGGCCGTAGAGTTCTTCAGATTTGACGTGGCAACTCTACCGTGAAGTCAGAACCTCTGGCTCATGGACTTGTGAATTCTCCGGCCGAAGCTCCTAAATAAACCATCAGTGTTTGACATCAAAGGTCCTGCTCTTCCCGTGTCTGCTTCATGAGTCGGTGACTCCCACTGCATTGCTACACAGAAGTTTCCCTTACAAAAATAACTTAAACCCATATGTTGTATCAAAGTATATTATATGTTATTGAAAGGCTGAATGGTTGATTCATTAATTACTAATGCAAGCATTTCCCAATATGGGATCAATAAAGTACATCTTATCTTATTATCTTAAATTCACCTTTTCTCCGACAGTACCTGAAGGCAGCACCCGCGCTGCAGAAACACCAGCACCCAGAATCCTCTGCTGACGCATGCGCAATACGCACTCTGGCCCGAAGGCGTTGGTGGTTGGTGTCCGTCCGAGGATGCGTTGCACTCCGGCAGCATCAGTACCAGCTCCGCCGTGCATATAAAGCTAAATACCCAGAAGACGGAGCAGAAATTCGGGCTGTGTTTGCGGCTAAAACCGCCCCGGAGCTTCGGAGATGGGGGACCAGAAGGTGAGCCGGATCCTGAGGAACAGGTGTCTCTGATGGGGGAAGCCGATTGAGGCAGGGCGTAGTGTACAAAGGAAGGAGAGGGACAAGCTGCAGGATTTGGGAGTTTGTGGATGCGGTACGGACTCGTATTGCACGGTGGTGTTTTGTATTTGAATCAATGTTGGTGTGGCTGCAGGGGAGGTTTGTCTTGAGCATGCCGAGATGTGTTATCGGTGTATCAGCGTTATAGTCACGGTCGTGGGGGCCTTGGCACATCTCCTCTCGCATCAACAAACATTACACAGCCCTTCAGTATGAATGGGCTTGTTCACTGTGTGCCAGATGAAACATAACCGGAAGTGGTAACATATCAGTTGTGTGATCCGTGTAATAATGTGACCCAGTGTATGTCCAGTGCTTTGAAGTGGGCTGTTCAATGGGTTCAGCTGCATTATTCCATTATTAATGCGCATCCTTCCGCCCGTGAAGTGTCCTCCCGCCCTGTGACACTATAGATCCCTCTCTGATCCCATCCAGTCTGATCAACACAATGTAATCATGACTAAAAGGGAGCTCAACGCCTAAACCTCCATGAGTCCTCTTAAACCAAACACTGATTAGCATAACCTCCACCACAGAGGAAACACTCAAGTTTGGTTAGATAATAAATTAGTATTCATGCTTAATCAGTCTTTGAAGATGATAATATTACTGTACAGATTTTCCAGTCTCAAAGGATAACATTTCCTTTTTTTCTCAGAAATAACTAGTGTTGAATGCTTGCTGCTATCTCCAATCTTTTGCAATGTACTAATGTTAATCTGGCTTCTTTCAACAATAGCACACTAGTCAGTCACTATTATATTATGTGCAATTCACTAATTTAGCATGCAGTTATCTCTTATATGTTCAACTTACCTTTCTAAAATGCTACTTATTTTTTCCATGGGTGCATACTTATTTGTTTTGATTTAGATTTTTGTGTGAAAGCGTCTATATTTAATATAATCAGTCTGCTCTTTTAATATTTGCGCTTTATCTGCACTGTCACCTTTGCTGTAACGCTCTACATTTCCCTGCAGTGATTTTGATATTATATATTCTATAACATAAATATATTTTGTCTTCTCTTTAGGAATCTCTGCGTAAGATCACCCACACGCTGGCCATGAAGAACGAGGAGATTTCAAACTTCGTCTGCACCCTCAAACAGAACCTCGAGAACTTAGAGGTAAAATCAAATCACACATAGCTGGACTAGAATTGAATCCTGTCTGCACACAGTTTAGTAGTCAGTTCATTCATTTAGCTCCAGAAAAGCTTACTTCCTGTATTCACTGTTTTCTGTTTGCGGCACCAGGGGAACACGAACAGGGTCCAGGAGGATCTGGAGTCTGAGTTCACCGCCCTGAATGCTGTTCTGGTCGAGATGAAGGAAAACATGGTGACTCGCATCAAACAGGAGAGAGCCAGCCGCACATACGAGCTACAGGTAGATGCTGTTTCATTTGCATTTCCTCAAACATGCACATATTCGTTTTTATTTAATAAGAAAATTAAGGCTTGTGAGAAGCATATTCTGTTATCGGCATTTATTGTCATGTAAATAAGCAGATAGCAAAAAAGTATATGTTTTCAAAACCAGATTAATGATGTTACAGATGTACAGAAAATAATCGCAAACTGTTTTGATTGTAGATAACTGTTACGGTAAGTGTTCAGCCCCTCAAATAGGTTGATTTCCTGCTTTTCTCTGTTATGTTTAACTTAATATATTTTGGATTTGAAAGACTAAACAAGACATTACCTTTGACTTTGAGTAAATGTGAAGGGTACTACTTACAACACTTTGAAAGACTACTTTTACCCAGTAAATAATCGGTACGTTAATCGATAATAAAAGTAATCTTTAGTTGTTGCCCGTTTTCAAAATGACTGAAAACACACTTTTAAACAAAGGAAATAAAACACAAAGAAAAGTAAATATTCTTCAGATAACTTAATTACTTTTTTACATCATCTGGGGAAATATTTTATTATCAAAATAAAACAAATGTAATCAAATTGGCTCATGAGCTCACATAGCTTATTTAAAAATTGAATTGATTTTCATCGTGGTTGGGTGAGCTCTGTGGCTTGAATACAGCATATTTTCCAGCTCACATGCAGTGAAAACAAGGTGTTATTATTAGTTTCCTTTAAGTCAAAATACCATTGAATGTATAATGACCTACAAAGTGTTACTCTGCAGCCTCAGGAGTTAGCCATGACTCTCAAATGATGCAGCGAACACAGAAGTCCCTTTTATACGAAAGGCAAACATGTAAGAGTTAGAGGATGTTCTTTGTTTGACCGTGGGTTGGGGATGTTTTCAGAGTCAGCTGAGCGCCTGCTCCAAAGCCTTGGAGAGTTCAGAGGAGCTGCTGGAGCTGGCCAATCAGACGCTCTGCTCCTCCGAGACAGACGGTTTCAATCAGGTAACTGACTCACCGTGATGTCACTCTGTCCCATCTGCTCCCTGTTATAACCACATTGCTAATGACTGATGGTGCTAGGGCTTTACCAAATGGCCATTATGTACATTTAAAGCTTTTATGGAAGGCTTCGTATGTCTCTCGTCATATTTTATGATGTCGTCACCCTAAAAAATCATTGAACATAATCCTCAATTTGAAAAAATCTAGTCCTAAGAGTAATTTCGTTTTTTTAATCAAATCAAATTTCTTTAATGAATTTTCCTCATTATTGTGTGCCTCCCTTTGTGTGCAAGCAGGAGAACCAGCTGTCTTCTACTGCAGGGAAAATTATGCTTTTGAAAGGCTAAGTGCCAGCAAATATGTTTTGAAGTAGAATATTTGTTTAGATAAAAAACATGAAATAAGGAAATGTTTACACCTTTTAAAAAAAAAATACGATTCTTAAATTATCGTCCCGATTAGAGAAGTCAGGAAAATTCCTACGCAATCTAATTCTACAAATAATATAATACTAATAATATACTATACTATAAGTGTTGCCTAAACGTTATCTGTAACTGTGCAGGAAATACAGGGTTTAGGCAGAATTTGAACATTTGCATTAAGAATAAAGATTAAAAGCTTTTAACGATACAGTACAGCTCTCACTGGTGTTGAATTTCAGTGTCCATGTATACATTTAAATCTGTCTTTTCAGCAGTTTGACACTAACAGTTATATTAACAAAGCCACCAGAGACTTGTGTTTAATGACAACATGATGAGCTACAACTCAGTTCTCTCTTCGCTCGTATCTCTCTTCTCTTTTTCCTGCCCCTCTCTGCTTCTCCTCTCCAGGCGGCCAAAGACATTAAGGATAGGTATAGTACTCAGTCATATATTTCCCTTTGTCATAGCCTCCTGTAGCCTTCTCATGATGTAGCATGCATGCATTCAGGACATGTAGCCACCACACCCTTTCTGTGGAAGCATAGCAGAAGAGAGCCTTTTGTGTTTGTGTTTCCCACTGTCCTCTCCAGTGTGTACCATCCTGTGTCAGCTCCCCTCCCCTCCCTGGATGATTTCCTTCTCTAGCTTAGTTTTTAAATGTTTATTAGGTTTATTAGCTCAGTGGTAGTACCAGAAGTCTAGTTAGAAGCCTTTCCTTATATTAGAAACACCTGTGCTTTCCCTCTGATTTTGTTAAATAACAGACAAAACTTGTTTCCACTCCTTGTGTTTGTGCGTTTTTGTGTGTCTCTCTTTGTCCGCAGCGTTACAATGGCTCCAGCCTTTCGCCTCTCCCTGAAGGCTAAAGCCAGCGACAACATGAGTCACTTGATGGTGGATTTCAGCCAGGAGAGGGAGGTGTTGCAGGGACTCAAGTTTCTCCCAGGTTTGCTCTGCTTATAATACAAATAAATACAGATGCTGACCACAGCAGTGGTGTAATGTAACGAAGTACATTCACACAAGTCTGTCCATTTTATGCTGCTTTAAACTTCATCCAATTGATTTCAGAATGAACAATTATATGTGTTGCTCCACTACAAGTACTAAACAACTGTAGTTACGTATAAATCACAATAAAATGGCCAATCAGTAAAAGTAAATCAGTTGCAACCACGCAGACCTCTTTGCCTTGGTTTAACACAGTCTGCATTATTTTTTAAACCATGGTCCATTTTAACAGGTCTAATCATAGCAAAACAAAAGCTCTATCCAAACAAGCCTTGTGTTGAATTGGTTTCAATGTGCACTGCTCATTATGTCATGACAGTCAAATGAGTTTATTTAATGTGAAAGGGGTCGCTTACTGCTCTGTAACCACAGAGGGAAGTCGCCCACCTCTGCAGCTGTATGAGAATTCTTAACCTTTTTCTGCTGTGGTTTTTACATCTCACGTATACATTTTAGGGCTCGGTCTCATTGCTAGCAGCTTTTTCGGCAGGAAAAAACTCTCTGATACAGCTAATGCACGCACATGTTGAGCACCAAACAGTCTGCTGCCGCTAGCTGGTGACGAAAGTTAAACAGGGAACAAGGTGACAGCAACACAGACAAAAAAAACCTATAAAGTATAATTACACATTAGCTATTTCTGTAGTGAAACACCATTGAACGTGTAGCTCTAAGTATAACAATTACAAGAAATGAAATAAGGATATTTGGTTTTATACCCTATATGAAATATTTGTAATGCAAAGAAAAAGGGTTCTTCTTCATGAAACTTCAGAATATTTAATTTGAGGAACATTTGGAGATATAGAACATTTATATTTTTCCCTAAGATGCCCAATTTTTTTCTTAACATTTTCTTTTTTTCTTATTATCTCCAATGAAAAACACCCCATACTCTAGTTTTGTGTTCTATGACCAAATTGTGAGAAGGATTTAACTTATGATGTCTGTGTGAACTGCTGCATCATAAGTGGATGTTCGATACATCCTGTAAAACACAAACTGTCTCCTCTCTGCAGTTCCTGGCACTCCAGAGATCCAGGTGTCAGAGTGCCAGGTGTCTGACAACACGGTGACGGTAGTTTGGACTCTACCGGAGCCTGACAGCAAGATCGAACACTACATCCTGGAGCACCGGCGCACAAACCACGAAGGGCCGCCGCGCCTCAGAGAGGATTACCCCTGGATGGTGGTGGAGGGGATCCGGGAGATGGAGCACTCACTCATCGGTAGGAGGAGGACTGTGTAGGGGTTTGTTAACTATACTTTGATGACGCTGACTCACTGAGGAAACTTGTGTTTTTCTCAGGTTTGCGCTTTGACACCCGCTACTTGACGTTCAGAGTGAGAGCGTGTAACAAGGCCGTGGCGGGAGAGTTTTCTGAGCTGGTCACACTGGAAACCCACGGTGAGAATTTGCTGATGTTTTATGTTAGGCTAAATCTAGTTTATAATAATATGCAGATTTTTTCTTGGCTGTCTTGTCATAACTCATAACTAACACTCAATTTCCACTGGATACAGTTTATTTTCAACTGTATTTTCAATGATTTAACTCATGTATTGGTATCTTTCTGGTTAGTTATCAATTGAGAGACTCTTGACAGCTTAGAAGTGTTTAAGTTGAACGTTTGTTTGTTTTATTATCACATTTCCAATGTCTTACTCTCTTTTTGTTATGTTTTTTTTGTTGAAAGTTTTTGTGCCTTTTTGTTGTTGAGGAGCCCTTGAAAACAAAATGGTGCATCTCGTAAGGTTATCCCTGATCCTTGGATTCATTTCTGACTAATTTTCTATTTGCAGCCTTCAACTTCAAACTGGACTCTGGTTCGGCCCACCAGAACCTGAAGGTGGAGGACCTGAGTGTGGAGTGGGACAGCTGTGGAGGAAAGATCCAGGACATCCGCAAGGAAAAGACCCGAACCAACTCCCCCATGCACTCTCCTGCCAGGTGTGTACCAGTGTTCATTTAGTTGAGAAAACTACAACTTAAAGTGTTTTTTCAAATAACTGTTTTGTACATGACCAGTAAGAGACAATGATGGGACAGCACTGGCATCATTAAACACTGACTGTGACTATATTTGCATGCAATATTTTTAACGAAAAAAGGGGGACTAAGGCCCCGTCCACACGGAGACGAAACGGGTGTTATCCGCTATAGTTCTTTATCGTATGGAGGGTTCGTCCACACGAGGCCGTAACGGAACCGCGGAAACGGAGCCCTCAAACGATAACGCATCCCAAAGTGGGAAGGTCTGGTAACGTAATGCTTGCGGCACCGTGTGTACGCCCTAAACGAACATAG